TTCCAACGTTTAGATGTCGGAAGACCTTGACGTGAGTAGACCTTTTAAGATCCACCGCGTGACCTGTATGAACACAGCAAATTGACTCGCAGCTACGAAAACAGGAAAGCGGAAACTCCAGAAGAGAGAGTAGGGAGAACCCGAAGGGACACAGGACTGAAGTCAAGTGTAACCTTATAGACCATAAAGATCTTAGCAAATTCTAGAGCACTCACGTTAGAGATGAGGGACTTTTCTTTTGCCCGCATTATCTCAATAAAATGGGAGATTTTAGCCTAAGGCCAATCCACCTATAAGCAAGAGTGAATTTCGAAAGCGGGTGTTCCCATCGCGGAAGCATAACTTTCAAAAAGTTCTATGACTGAACAAGCAACGGCTTTCGCGCGTCTTGCTCAATCCCTTGCTTGTTTGAAGGAAAGGTTATAACATATGCGAGACTAAAAAGGAGAGGAAGTAAGGGCTAAAGGAAGACCAGTCGGAAGACCCGTCCGTACGAACGTCACAGGAAAGCAGGTAAGCGCGTAAACAGGTAGGTACAAGCTAGCAAGTCCGACAGTAAGTAGGCGAACTCGTTCTTCTTTATCCTAAGCAACTGAGCGATTGTAGGAACAATGATCCCGTATGGAGCCATGGTTCTGAAGAGTATAGCGTACCAGAGTATCCGGGGTATGAGCAGCTAGAAGCTGTAGAAAGAGTCACTCTCCCATCCGTGAGTCTTCCCTCCGGGGCTGGCATTGACGGAAATTGGTAATAGGCCTAGAACAATCACCCTTTAATCTAATAAGCCTGTGGCCTGAAGCAAGGATTGGAATGATATACCATACAACTAAGGATTCCCCACTAACCAACTAGGAATCCGAACTCATATGAAAAACCTCAACGACCAAAGATTCCTCATCGGAAAGCGAAGCGGTATCAGTTTGTTCGCGACATAAACTAAATATAAAAACGTGAACAGACGCTTTCTTATCTGGAGATCTTTCTAGTTACCTCCTTTAAGTACTTACGGTCCAAGTCCGTCTTACCATCCACCTCTTTTGTCAAAAAGATGGACAGGCAGTGAGTATGTAATTTGCATTGGGTGCAAGAGCTGATTCCTTTCCACACCACACTCGATGCAGGGTCCATCCAGGACCCTTTCCCTCCCCCTCCCCCATGTCGTACACACAGAAAATAAGAGAAAACCTCCGTGAGGCTTCACGGTCTTCATGGAAATTCTTCTTATAGTCGTATGATACAACAGGAGGGTTGAAAAGGGTGTAAAGGGAAGGATCCGGATTGAGAAAGAGAAGGGAATACCATTTAAGGTATTGGAGCCACAACTCCATCCAATTACGGACAAGAGTGTACTCCAGATTATCCCTTTCTCCCTCGAATGTCAGGTTGGAAGGAGGCAGTCGAAGCTCTTTTGGAGCAGACTTCTCCCTCACCAAGTTGACAAGGATTCCCTTTAAGTAGGCTCGATGTAATTGACCTCTGCCTATCAACCACTCCAAAGGTTGCCAACCTTTTCCAGTGTTCGGATCGGAAGCCATGTTAAGTGGCTTGTCCAGAACCGCAAGGATACGCCGATACCTTTGGCTAAGGTATGGAGTACCCAAACGGGCCCGAACTCGGAAACCAGCCCCTGATAAAAAAAGTACAGATTTTTTTGACATCTCGTACTTTGACGCCAGTTGGCAGTAGCCGACCAAGTTTGTAGAGGCCAGAACTGCTGAGGCAGAGATAGGCTCGATATAATTGACCTCCCACCCAAAACTGCTTAGCAAATTCTAGCGCTCCCAAAGTAGAAGATATTGATTTTGAATCTCAATGTAATCTTTCCTCGGATTTTAGTCGAGACTCACTTTGCTCTCCTTAGCTACCAACCTAGCTTTGAGACGACCGTAAGGGTAAATACTTCACCGCAGTCTAAATCCATCCCATCGGCCCCCAAGAGCACGCTTTCCGGATAGAGGGTCGATGTAATTGAGGCCAATCCAAAGATAAGAAAAAGTCCAAGCTTTCTTAGTTACCTTTGTACTGGAAGCTGGATCATACGAACCAGCAATGGCCTGAAGCTTTCTCAATCGAAAAATGAAAGTGTTCATATAAGCGTACTGAACGATTCTATCTATTACTTGCGTCATTTCTTGTCGTCAGTCAGTTTTCATAAAGGCAGTTGGCCGAGTCGAGACCCACTGCTTCTTTCTTCCTTTCCCCTTCGAACTTCACTATCTGACTATCGAGAATGAACTCGATAGTTAGAATAGGCTGAAAGAAGACTATTCCCCCTTTATCACTCTCTATCCACGGCCTTTGCTTTAAGAATTTCTATTCGACTGAACATAAA